CCAAGACTTTTATCATAAAGGGATGTTGAATTTTGTCAAATACTTTTTCAGCATCTAATGAAATGATCATATGGTTTTTTTCTTTCAGCTTATTTATATGATGGATTACATTGATAGATTTTCGTATGTTGAACCAGCCCTGCATCTCTGGGATGAAGCCTACTTGATCATAATGGATAATTTTTCTAATGTGTTCTTGGATTCGGTTTGCCAGTATTTTGTTGAGGATTTTTGCGTCGATGTTCATGAGTGAGATTGGCCTGTAATTCTCTTTCTTGGTTGAGTCTTTGTGTGGTTTTGGTATCAGAGTGACTGTAGCTTCATAAAAGGAATTTGGCAATGACTCTTCTGCTTCTATATTGTGAAATACATTAAGGAGTATAGGTATTAGGTCTTCTTGGAAGTTCTGGTAGAATTTCGCATTGAAACCATCAGGTCCTGGGCTTTTTTTGGTAGGGAGGTTTTTGATAACAGCTTCTAGTTCTTCGTGACTAACAGGTCTATTTAGGTTGTTCACCTGGTCCTGGTTTAACTTTGGTATATGGTATTTATCTAAAAACGTGTCCATTTCTTTTACATTTTCCAGTTTTGTGCCATACAGGCCTTTGTAGTAAGATCTAATGATTCTTTGAATTTCCTCTGTGTCTGTGGTTATGTCCCCCTTTTCATTTCTGATCTTATTAATTTGCATATTCACTCTCTGGCGTTTTATTAGTTTGGATAGAGGTTTATCAATCTTGTTGATTTTCTCCAGGAACCAGCTTTTTGTTTCATTGATTCTTTGGATTGTTTTCTGTGTTTCTATTTTGTTGATTTCAGCCCTCAGTTTGATTATTTCCAGTCTTCTACTCCTCCTAGGTGAGTCTGCTTCTTTTTTTTCTAGAGCTTTCAGGTGGGCTGTTAAGTCTCCAATGTGTGCCTTCTCTGTTTTCTTTAAGTGGGCACTTAGTGCTATGAACTTTCCTCTCAGGACTGCTTTCATAGTGTCCCATAAGTTTGAGTAGGTTGTTTCTTTATTTTCATTGAATTCAAGGAAGACTTTAATTTCTTTCTTTATTTCTTCCTTGATCCAGGTGTGGTTCAGTAGTTGACTGTTCAGTTTCCATGAGTTTGTAGGCTTTCTGGGGGTAGGGTTGTTGTTGAATTCTAACTTTAATCCATGGTGATCTGATAAGATACAGGTGGTTACTAATATGTTTTTGTACCTGTGGAAGTTTGCTTTGTTACCGAGTATGTGGTCAATTTTCGAGAAGGTTCCATGAGCTGCAGAGAAGAAGGTATATTCTTTCCGATTTGGGTGGAATATTCTATAGATGTCTGTCAAGTCCAATTGATTCATTACCTCCATTAATTCTCTTAGTTCTCTGTTAGGTTTCTGTCTGATTGACCTGTCCATTGGTGAGAGAGGAGTGTTGAAGTCTCCCACTATTAGTGTGTGCGGTTTGATGGCTGCCTTGAGTTTTAGTAATGTTTCTTTTACGTATGTGGGTGCTTTTATATTAGGGGCGTAGATATTCAGGATTGAGACTTCCTCTTGATGAATTGATCCTGTTATGAGTATAAAATGTCCCTCTCCATCTCTTCTGATTGATTTAAGTTTGAAGTCAAGTTTGTTAGAAATTAGTATGGCCACACCTGCTTGTTTCTTAGGTCCATTTGCTTGATAAGCCTTTTCCCAGCCCTTTACTCTGAGTAGGTGCCTGTCTCTGTGTTTGAGGTGTGTTTCTTGTAAACAGCAGAATGTTGGATCCTGATTTCGTATCCAATCTCTTAGCCTGTGCCTTTTTATAGGTGAGTTGAGCCCATTGACATTAAGTGATATTAATGACCAGGGGATGTTAACTCCGGTCACTTCTTTAGTAGTAGAGTTCGTGTGCGTCCCTTCTTTGAGTTGCGCTGGTGACGGGTCTCTAGATGTCTGAGTTATTGTGGTCATTGTTGGACTCCTTGGTTAGAGATTTTCCTTCTATTACTTTCTGTAAGGCTGGGTTTGTGGCTACGTATTGTTTAAATTTGTTTTTATCCTGGAAAATTTTGTTTTCTCCATTTATGGTGAATGAAAGCTTGGCTGGGTATAGTAGTCTGGGCTTGCATCCATGGTCTCTTAGTTTTTGCAGTACATCTATCCAGGACCTTCTGGCTTTCATGGTTTCCATAGAGAAGTCAGGTGTAAGTCTGATAGGTTTACCTTTGTAAGTAACTTGGCCTTTTTCCTTTGCGGCTCTTAATATTCTTTCTTTATTCTGTATGTTTTGTGTTTTGATTATTATATGGCGAGGGGATGTTTTTTTTTTTTTTTTTTTTCCAGCCTATTCGGTGTTCTGTATGCTTCTTGAACCTTCATAGGTACATCTTTCTTTAGGTTGGGAAAGTTTTCTTCTATAATTTTATTAAATATATTTTCTGGGCCGTTGAGTTGCACCTCTTCTCCTTCTTCTACTCCAATTATTCTTAGGTTTGGTCTTTTTATTGTGTCCCATATTTCCTGAATGTTTTGTGATGAGAATTTGTTGGTTTTGCTGTTTTCTTTGATCAGTGTGTTTATTTTCTCTATGGTATCTTCAGTATCTGATATTCTTTCTTCTATCTCTTGTATTCTGTTGGTAGTACTTGTCTCTGTAGTTCCTGTTCGTTTACCCAGATTTTCCATCTCCAATCTTCCCTCGGTTTGTGTTTTCTTCATTACTTCCATTTCATTCTTCAAGTCTTGAACTGCTTCCCGTACCTGTCTGATTGCTTTTTCATGTTTCTCTTGATTTTCTTGGGTATCTTTAAGCGATTTATTCATTTCCTCTACCTTTTTGTTTGTAATCTCTAATTGTTTATGGCAGTTTTTCACCTCCTGCTTAAGGTCTTCTATTATTTTCATATAATTCACTTTTGAGTCGATTTCTTCTAATTCTTCTGGAGTAGGGTGTACAATTCTTCTTATTTCGGGATCCCTTGATTCTGGTGAAGTCATGTTGCCTTTCAGGTTGTTGGAGGAAGTCTTGCATTGGCGCCTTCCCATCTCCTCGTTCAAACGGAGCCAGGAGAGGCCTGGTGTCTTGGTCCAGTTTTTGCGTCCAGATGGAACTCCTCAGGACCACTCTGGGTGGGTTGTGGATGCAAGCCTGATGTCTTTTCTGGTACCGGGACAGGCTGGGCTGGGAGATGTTATGTGGTCAACGAGGGAAGGGAGTCAGATGGAGGGGGGAGGGATGTGGATGCAAGCTGGGTGGGATAGGAAGAGAGAGGGGGTATCGGGCAGAGTCGCCCCTGAGGATGACCAGGAAGTGTAGGAGGGGTGTCTGAGTTCCCTGTCCCGGGCTGCTGCCGCGGTCAGAAACTCACTCACCCCAGTGTATCATAGCATTCTTAACAAGTTTTTTTGAGCCACTTAAAATGTAATGATATACATGATGGCACACACCCATGACTCCAGCACTCAGGAAGCAGAGGCAGGAGGATTACAGTTTGGAGACTGGTCTGGTTTACACAGTGAAACCTTGTTTGAAAAAACCCAAACCTGAGCCATCGTTGTTAGCTCACAGCTCGTAGGGTCAGGTGAACAGGAAAGTGTTATCTTCTGGCTGTATTTCCCATGCTGTGACAGTGACAGGTCAATTTCTGCCACCTTGCTGGTGCCTAGACGGATGGGGTTTTATTCAGTCTTCCTAAGGCCATGAGTAGCCCCTACGTGCCTTAGACCCTTGACACTTTAAGCACTGCTTTTAGTTACAAAGACACATGCAATCCTAATCTTTGAGCATTGGAACGGCACTACAAGTTTGGGCATATTTATAGATCAAGCTGTTTGAAAAGACTGTGAAGAGGAAGTAATCCGGGGAAGAAAAGAGTGTTCTGGACGACACTGGTAGAAATGGAGACTGAAAAAGTAGACACAGATTGGAGATATATTTAGAACCGGGTGCTTCCTTGAATGGCGCTCCAGTTTTGCTTGGTGAATGGCTTTCACTGAATGAAAGATATTGATGTCATGGATTTTAAAGTACTATCTGAATCTAGCTGGAATAATATACTATCTCTTATTATAGATAGCCATTTTTTTTAAAAAATGCTGGAATCTATTATATCTGTTTGCTGATTACTCCACAAGTTATAGCACACTTACTTTTCAAGTATAATGTTTATTGAAGCTTATTCTGATTTAAAAAAAAATCACAATCCAAGGCCAGGGATCTCGAGATGAGGTAATCTCTAACTCAAGTCCAGACTCCTAGCAGACACCCGCCTTTCTCCGCCTGAGTTCCCATTGGCTTCCGGGGCAGCCACTCTCCAGGACTAGCGCGGGTGCGGGGCCCAAGCTGACTCTGCAACTCCCAGTACCTGGTTAGCGCCCCCTCGAAGCCCCGCCCACTCCCCACGAAGCTCCTCCCATCGCCCGCCCACTCACTCCGCGCGCGAGGAACCCTCTCGAGAAGCAGCCCCACCCACTCTTCCATCCGCTTGTGGAAGCTCCGCCCATTCTGCTGCCCGCTCCCCGGGGCTCCGCCCACTTTACCCGCCCGCACAGCTCCGCCCCCTCCTGCCTGCACCCCTGCTCCTTCCCTTCTTCCGTCGCTTCTACCGCTCCCCGCCCCCACAGCTGCCTTTCATTGGCTAAAAAGGCAAAACCGCGCGAGGATGCAGCAGAGCCTCACTCTGATTGGCTAGAGGCTAAGCCGGGCCCTTTTTCATTGGCTGATACGAGAAACCAGCAAGAGTGGCTGTGCAGCGGGCGTGCGGCCGCTGCTTTGTTGCCGGAGGGGGGCGGCGTTGGAAGTTGCAGGCTTGCGGGGCCAGCGTTCGCGGGGAGTGGGGTCGCGGCCGCTGCTATCGTCCCCCCGGTAGTCTTTGGCCAGTCCCCGCCCGACAGCAGCCATGAGCGGTGGCGTATACGGCGGAGGTGAGTGAGCGCGGCGGCGCCTCGGGGCTTGCGGGCCGGAACGACCGGCCCGGGTCTCTGGCCGCTTCCGTTTCCCTCCGGTCCCCGGCGGGCCCTTCCGGTCTTCTGCCGGTCCTTCCGGTCCCCGTACGGGCCACGGCCTCCCCGTCCCTTCGGACCCGGAGCTCGCGCGCAGTGGGCTCCCGGTGACGGCCTCGAGGGAGGGTCTTGTCGCTTCTTGCACCCGGGACTTCGGGACCGGCGGGCTCTGATGGCAGTCACCGGGCACGCAGGGTCCCTCGCCGTACCGGTTCCGCCGCGCGTTCGTCCCCGGCAGCTCGCGGAGCTTCCGGGCCCTCGGGTTGGGCACTGGGTGCGAGTCGTACTCGGTGTTGCGGCTGCTGCTCCCGATCCTGCAGCAGCTGCTACAGACTAGACCTCGCTGCTGGTGTGTCCCGTGCCTAGATGATCGGAGCGCTGAGGTACACGCTGCTGTTCCCCTCCAGCTGGGCAGGAGCCTTTTCTAGACTGCCGATAATGAAGTCAGGGCTCCCACGTACTTGTCCTTTCACGTGTAACTGATTAAGGACGCTTCTCTGCGTGGACGCTGACAGGAGATGGGGCTGCTATTCCCCGCGCTAATGAAGAAAGTATTGGAAAAGTTAAACAAGGCAAAAATTAAAAGACTTCCTTTGTAGGTTGGGAGCAAATAGTTTGTGGGATGAGGAAAAGGCATTTCAGAGCGGCCGTTTCTTTCTCTGCTATGTGCCGGTAGCATACACCCAAGAGTATCGGCACACACACTACAGATTTGTCTGTATCGAGTCAGAAGATCGGTGTCCACTAGTTTTAAGTGGCGTGTAGGATTTGTATGAGTGAACCGTAGCTGTTTCTCTAGAAACTGTTAAGGTTTATGTCTTTTCCCTGCCTAGAAGTGTGGCAGTAATAATTACAGTTAGCTAATATTTATTATGCTGCTTGTTTGTCAGAACTATTTGAAGCATTTTTATGCATTAAAACATTGAAGACATTTACTCATTATAGAGTCCTATGAGATAGGAAATATTAAGTACAGTTTACAAATTAGGAAACTAAGGCAGAGACGTTATTAAACTACCCAGTCTATTGGTCACTTTCCTGTTACTGTGATTAAACAAAGTAACCAAGCCCCACGACCAGGGCAATTTCTAGAAGGAAGAAATTGCTTCAGTTTAGTCCAGAGGGAGAAGAGTCCGTTATGGCAGGCATGGTGGTAGGAGCCAAAATCTGTGAGCTCACATACTCAAACAATTGCATGTGTGTTTCCTTGTAAAATATGAGTTGCTCTAAACTGGAGGTCTAAAAAGCTATGGGGTTTCTCTTTGGGTGCCTCTTTGTAGCTAGCACTAATCTGGCTGTTGTGGTTTATGGCTTTAGCTACTAGCGTTATAGAAGAGCTTCTCCTAAGGCCTTAGCAATTGAATGATGGTAAATAGGATTAGTGTTTTCAGTGTTGGGGAAATGAACCCTTTGACAAATGAGCACTGAAAAACCAAATGCATTATTCTAGGATGCCTGCTGTTTGTGGTGAAGCACTTGGAAAATGTAAATGTAAAAGTTTGCCAGCTTTCTTACTCAGCATTAAACTATCTCCTAATATCTAGAATGTGTAACTTCAGTGAGACCTTCATTTAATGCTTTTTATTTGGCCTGTATAATTACACTTTTAAGTTCTGATTCTCCGTGCTTTTCTCCAGTTTTCATGTTTTGCTGAATTTCTTGATTACGTGAAACATAATTTCTTATAATTGATTAAATGGTCCTCTGATTTACTAGGCAGTTAGTGTGCTTGTGTGTGTGCATTTGATTTGTTGTTGTTGCTGCCATTTGCACCCTTCCTGTGCCTGAATAAATGGCCTCTGTGGGCTGTCCCAGCCTTGGGTTTTAGCTTTGATTTGGTGATGGTAGGGTAACCGAACCTCTTGCCCGTGCTTTGTTCTAGTGTAATCATTAAAAGGTGGTGACCCCCCCCCCCCCAGTTAAAAGTGTTCAGTTCAGATGCTGGGTTCTGTCTCCCTGGAGGTTGGAGTCTGAGCAGGCAGCCATAGCTCTGCAGTGTCCCAGCCCCGGATGCTCTCCCCACAGTCTTCTCTCTTAGGTTCTGGTAACAGTTCCCTCTTGTTTCCCCAGATCGAGTGATTACCAGGGCAATGGACAATCCCTTCTGTTTGTCCTGTTTTTATTTTTTTCTCTTTGTCCTTTTATGCTGTGACTATAGAGGTTTATAAATAGTCACTTTAGTAAGGGAACTTACTACCTGTTCATGTACCGTGTCTTTCCTGGTTAAACCTCTACTGATAAACAGTACAGTACTTGCCATATTTTAATTAATTAAATAAATCTTGGCGGTAATTTAAAACTAGGTTCAAGCCAGACATGGTAGCACTTGGTGAGTTCCAGGACAACTAGGATGTCATAGAGAGATCCTGCTTCAAAGCAGCAGCAAAAACTAGGTTCTAGCTAATGATATATGAATGTAATAAATGTTTGCAGAGTTTTAAATATTCTCATTTTATATATATAAAATATGTCCTTAACTTTCATAGGACACTTAGAAGTTAGAAGAGGTAATTTTCTCTCTCTCTGTCTTTCCTTTTGTTTGCTTTGTTGAGACAGAGTTTCTCTCTGTAGCCCTGACTGCCTGGAACTAGTTCTGTAGACAGTCTAGGTGGCCTGGAACTCAGAGATCTGTCTTCCTCTACTTCTGCCTCCCTCGGTGAGATTAAAGGTATGTGTAATTGTCTTTTAGTCTCTTCAGCAATTCTCTTTCAATCTCTTCAGATGAAGTTGGCGCCCTTGTTTTCGACATTGGATCATATACAGTGAGGGCTGGCTATGCTGGTGAGGACTGCCCCAAGGTAAGAACAGCAATAAGAATTACTTAGATAGGCAAGAATCGTCTGTGCAAAATTAAATTCAAGCAGAAACTCGAAGCAAAAATGACAGTAGACACTAGGAACCCCACCAACCACATGAAAGCAGGTAATTGTTTATGCCACGTTTAACTCTCTAGGTGGATTTCCCCACGGCCATTGGTGTGGTGTTGGAGAGAGATGATGGAAGCACCATGATGGAAATAGATGGTGACAAAGGCAAACAGGGCGGCCCCACCTACTACATAGACACCAATGCCCTCCGCGTGCCCAGGGAGAACATGGAAGCCATCTCACCACTCAAGAATGGCATGGGTATGAATTTGTTTGTAAATAGTGTTCACGGTCCTTTTAGATATAAAACAGTAACTGATGGGTATCAGGTGTTTTTGTTTCAATTCCACAAAGAAATATTTTGGGTATTGAGAATACAAAGGTGTGTAAGAAGTGTTCTTTTCCTTAAGCTTGGTCGGGAGAGTTTGGTGATGCACAGAAAACTGTATACTGTATCCTGGGATAGAGCTGTGTAGGTGTGGTCAGGAAACAATGGTATTAGAGAGGAGGCGAGAGCTCATGCTGGTTCCCACAAAGGAGGTAGCCTTCTGAGTGTGACCAGTTGCTTTTCCTTGTCCTCTTTCTCTTCTGATCACCGCTTGGTCTGTAGCAAAAATTGTTAAGTGTCTATTAAGCACCCCATTTATATTTGGGGCAGATTGGAGGCCCACCTGGAAGAACAAAAAAGAGATTTTCTATGTAGGAAATGGTAGCAGCCTCTGCTGTAAAGTAGATTCTGTATTCAGGCATTGATTTATACGTCAGAAACAGGCTCTCCGTCTTAGAAGATGCTCATTCGCTCATTACCAGCTAAGCTTTGGTTCAGACTGTGACGTTTCTGTTCTAGTTGAAGAATGGGATAGTTTCCAGGCCATTCTGGATCATACTTATAAGATGCATGTCAAATCTGAAGCCAGCCTGCATCCTGTTCTCATGTCGGAAGCACCGGTGAGACCCACTGCCCTTTTTCTTTTACTTCCCACTCACTTGAAGATTTTCTTTTTCTTTCTTTTTAAAAATGAATTCATTAATTTATCGTGAGCACATACGTAGGTGCTCATGTGCCAGCACACATGTCAAAGTCAGATTAGTTCTCTCCACCATGTGGACCCCAGGGATCTAACGAGGGTTACTGGTGGCTGAAGCCTGCTGAGCCATCTTGCTGGTCCTGCTTTTAAAGAACCAACGAAATTCACATTTGGAATTTGGGAATTTGAGGAAAGCTTAATTTTTATTATGATTAAAACATTTCAGCAAATGAAATAATGATTGGCTTTGTTTGTGAATACTAGTTACAAGAGGGATGATTGGGTGTTTTAAAATTCATATTTAGGATTTTGGTTACCAGATTTAATATCTCATAATACTTTTGTTTTTAGAATCTTGATTTTCCTGTGTTTTGAAAAGTCTTTATTTCTAGAACTCATAGCAGCTGACAGTTTTACCTGTTTAATAATAGAGTTCAGTTTATGATTTATTAAAAAAGGCAGTTTTTAACATTGTTTCTTGCCAGTATAGCATGGAGTGGTCCGTGCTGTAATGACTGCACAGTGAATAACTGGGTCCCTCCCTCCCGCAGTGGAACACCAGGGCCAAGAGGGAGAAGCTGACAGAGCTGATGTTCGAGCACTATGGCATCCCTGCGTTCTTCCTGTGCAAGACTGCGGTTTTGACGGCGTATCCTTCCGTGTGGGATTTCTATGTCTGTGCTAGACACTAGTGAGGAAGTGTTTTCCTACTTTCTAGCTTTTTACCTCTGAGTATTTTTAAACTTTTTTCCCTGTTCTTGATATATAGTCATTGTACATTGTACACAATCTCCTTCAAATATATTATGTACTGAACCATTTTTACCTGCCTTGGCTTCTTAGACTCCCCTGCCTGCTCTAATAGTCTCCCTTCTTTCCTTTTCCACTCTGCCTTCCAGGTATGTGTGTGTGAGAGAGAGAGACAGAGAGAGAGTATGTGCGTGCACGTGTGTGTATGTATGTGCTCAAATGCATGTGTTTTTAATGTATCTGTGAAGAAATCTTAGACTTGCAAATTAACATTGAACATGCAGTATCTGCTTGTCTTGTCTCACGTAATTTGATCTCCAGTTTTCAAGCAAGCAGGATTATTTCATTCCGTGCAGCTAAACAAAGCTTGACTGTGTGTAGACTACATTTTCTTCATGTTAATGGACACCTAGTCTGACTTTATGACCTGGCTGTTGCAAGTAGTTCTGTGATGAGCGCGGGCATGCAGGTTTCTCTCTATGTTGACTTAGTTCTTTTGGCATAGACCTAGTAGGTTTAAATGGATACTAAGTAAGTTTTTAATTTTTTGAGGACCCTCTTTACTGATTTTCATAGTGGCTGAACTAATTTACATTACCACTAGCAATGAATTCTCCTTTCCCACATCCTCATTGGCCTCTGTTGTCTGTTCTTTTGCTGGTAACCATTTTGAGGGTGAAATGAAATCTCATTGTGGTTTTAATTTGTATTTTTGTGGTAGCTTTAAGGGTGTTGAGCATTTTCCCTGGTGTATTGGCTGTTGGTAATCCATCTTCAAGAGCTATGTATTCATTTCATTAGGCCATTATTGATTAGGTTGCTTGTCTTTGGTCTAGTGTTTTGAGTTAGGTATGTGTTCTAGATGGTACTCCTTTGTCTTATGTGTAGCAGCAGGGTGCAGTTTCTGTAGGCTGTTGTGCCCTTCTGGACTCTCTGAAATCATTCTTTGTTGAGTCAGGATGGTTTTGTATGTTCCTTCTCTGCTATGAGACTGCTGAACTTAGGTAGTTCTGCACCCGCCGTGTTCTCTTTCATCTTGTACTTCCTACTTGTTCCTACCCCATCTACATCCTCCCCAGGTTACTATTAGAGCCCCAGGATAGGTTGGGTGGACTCTCCTTTATCCTTCCAGGACATCCCTGTTGTAGGAGGCTGCTAGTTAGTTGCTGGCTGCTCAGCCCCAAAATAACCACAGTGTAAATGATAATGTCTGTTTAAAGAGCCGACTTACATTACAAGAGCCAGCCTTTATAATCACTATCCTTGGAGCTTTGATGCTTTATTTTCCTTAATGCTTTAAACTAGATTTGCTAATGGTCGGTCTACTGGGCTGATTTTGGACAGTGGAGCCACCCACACCACAGCAATTCCAGTCCATGATGGCTATGTCCTTCAACAAGGTAACTACTTAATGAATGCACGAGATGATTTTCCCTGTGAGGACACAGATAATGAAGACAAGCTAGGAATTCTGTTGGAGCCCAGTCATTCCCAAGAAATATTTTAAATGAATGCATGACTATTCTTTGAAAGGATAGTTTGGTAAATTCTACTAAAAGAAACCTATTCATACGTAAATATATTCACAGTAGGAATTCATACTTTTGGCATCTTCAACCTTGTTTGATCTGATTCTCAGGCATTGTGAAATCCCCTCTTGCTGGAGACTTCATTACCATGCAGTGCAGAGAACTCTTCCAGGAGATGAATATAGAACTTATTCCTCCATATATGATTGCATCAAAAGTAAGCAGCGTGTGAAGTTTCTTAGTGAGACCTGCCTTCCACTTCCTCTGCTGTCGTGAGTCTCTTAATTAGCGTGTGCTCTTGGTGTTCTCAGGAGGCTGTTCGGGAAGGTTCTCCAGCAAACTGGAAAAGAAAAGAAAAGTTGCCCCAGGTTACAAGGTCTTGGCACAATTACATGTGCAATGTAAGTAACCCGTATTGTCTTTAGAAAGTGCTGATTCTAAACTCTGTGTTTTTAATATCTGAAAACATAAGTAGTTTGGGGTGGGGAGCACTTTTCATATTTTCGAAGCAGTCCCTACAGACTACTACTTAGCAGTTTGAAGGCATGGAAGAGGTTTTGGTTTTAGGGTAAAATCAAGTACACTATTTTATACAGTTTTTGTTGTTAAGGTGCTTTTAGCAAGGTAATGGTGGCACACGCCTTTAATCCCAGCACTCAGGAGGCAGGGGCAGGCAAATCTCTGTGAGTTCAAGGCCAGCCTTGCCTATAGAGTGAGTTCCAAAACAGCCAGCACTACACAGAAAAACCTTGTCTCAAAAAACCAAATAGAAAAAAAGGGGGCGGGGGATGCTTTTAGATTGCATAGAACTTAGTTTATTTTAGGTATGATTTCTTCTCCAGCATTAATCGGACATGCAGAAGTATATCTCACTGCTTAACAATGAGCCAGTGAGACTTTTTACTGATGTAGTGTCTGAATGTGTGGACCTATGTGGGTGAGAGGTTAGTACCTTTGTTGTTCCATAGATACATAATAATTTCTAGCAAAAGGATATGAAAGACATAATTGACTAGGTGTATTCTGTGAGCATGTTGCACCCAACGTTGTATGTGTTAGAATGTGTCCTAAGGATCCTGTGTTGACGTCAGACAAGGTTTCCCATATTAGCCTGTAGGCCATGTTTATCTCACAGCAGTCACAGAAATTTCTGTGTGGGTGTGACGGGTTTGCGTGTCACAAGTGCAGGGGAGAAAATCTTTTAAAAATTCAAGGAATTTTTAAGGAAAAGAATGATGTTCTGAAGCTGGTTTAGTTTGGTGGGACAGTGGTGCAGGTTCCTGCTTGTTTTTAATCTTTTCATTATTCCAAAAATAAAAATTATAATTGATACATATTTCAATTGTATAGTTACAACTATAGAAATGAATTAAATTTGTGTTATAAATTGTAAATCCCAGGTAACTGTTGATGCCGTCTTTGGTAGAGTTTCACTCTTGAAATGACTCACCTGAATGAAGCTGGTCTGCTGTCATGAGCAGACTCACAGAGAGCAGGTCGCACAGCAGATTTCAACCTTGTTTTTTACCTTCTGTCCACAGTGCGTCATCCAGGATTTTCAAGCTTCAGTTCTTCAAGTGTCAGACTCCACCTACGATGAACAGTATGTTTTCTGTGGGACTGACTGTCCTTCAGAAATAGGGCTCTTGTGGGTTTGGCCTAAAGACATAAAGTACATTCTGATACTCTGCTCTTAGGTGTTTGCTCTGACTTCGCACAGATTGGTAACTCCTTAGAGGTGGTTTATCATTTGAACAGCGTTGTTCTGCTTTCTGTGAAATGCTGTTTGCTGTTTGCAGAGTGGCTGCGCAGATGCCAACTGTCCACTACGAATTCCCCAACGGTTACAACTGTGATTTTGGTGCAGAACGGCTAAAAATTCCTGAAGGATTATTTGACCCTTCCAATGTAAAGGTGTGAGGCCAGTTTCTTAAAAATGTCAATTTTGTCTGACTTTCCTGAATTCATATGAATAGATACATACTTATGACCCTTTCATAAAAGATGCAGCTTTTCCTCTGTGGAGAATTTACGGAATTATAGCCTACAGTAGACTAAATTCAACAATGGAGAGTCCCATGTGAATACTTGCACTCTTGTTCCAGGGATTATCTGGGAACACGATGCTGGGAGTCAGTCATGTCGTTACTACAAGTGTTGGAATGTGTGACATTGACATCAGACCGGTAAGTGCCAGGCTCCTGTTCCTGTCTCATGGCAGTGAAATGCCCCAGATGAGGTCTGCAGCTTTGATGATAACTATGTTTAACAAGATGGACACTGGGAAGGATGCCCAGTGCTGCTGACACTCAGCTCAGCTCTGTTCCTGAATCGCACTCACCTTTCTGTGAACATGGTTTGGCTGCCATCCTGGACAGGGTAGACTCCTAGAACATTTCCATCCTTCCTAAAATGTCGTAAATCAAAGTCCATATAAATTGGTTATTTCTCTTGACATCTGCTTGTATTATTCAGAAAGGTGTGGTTCAAAGTACGTGGTTTTACATGGATTGTATTAGATGATTTTTGTATTTGTTCTGCTATGCCAGGTGTTAAACTGCTGATCTACTATATTGACTTGATTATATACTGTATTCATTTAGATTAGTTAGAATTTATTAAGCTCTAGATTTATTTCATAATCTCCTTAATCTACACCCACATCCTATCTAAAGTATGGTGTGAATAGATGTGAGTGTATACACAACACACTCACAGAAGACTGTGAGTGGCCATGAAGACAATTTCTTTCAAGTGACCTAGCAACCTCTACCACTTCTAAAGCAGTGGGGGCGTTAGTACAGAATTGTAAAACATTATTTTTGTGTGTTCTATGTGGTGTCACATGTGTTATATATGACTGTCACATGTGTGTTATATATGACGTCACTGTGTTATATGTGGTGTCACATGTGTGCTATATATGACTGTCACATGTGTGTTATATATGACTGTCACATGTGTGTTATATATGACTGTCACATGTGTGTTATATGTGGTGTCACTGCGTGTTATATGTGGTGTCACATGTGTGTTATATGACTGTAACGTGTGTTATATGTGGTGTCACATGTGTGTTATATATGACTGTCACATGTGTGTTATATGTGGTGTCACTGTGTGTTATATATGACTGTCACGTGTGTGCTATATATGACTCACATGTGTGTTATATATGACTGTCACATGTGTGTTATATGTGACTGTCACATGTGTTATATGTGGTGTCACTGTGTTATAGATGACTTGTCACATGTGTGTTATATATGACTGTCACATGTGTGTATATGTGGTGTCACTGTGTGTTATATGTGGTGTCACTGTGTGTTATATATGACTTGTCACATGTTTGTTATATATGACTGTCACATGGGTTCCAGAAGTCAGACTCGTGTGTCCAAATGTGCACAGAAGTACCTGTAATCCACTGAGCTGTTTTTCTCCTCCAAGTTTTGAATTTTTTTTTTTTGGTGGAAGGTCACTTCAGGACAGGGAATTAAATAGATTTGCAAGAATGGGACTGTTTGTACTGAGACTGTTTTCTGTTTACTTAAAGTTAGCAGATGGGGCCCAATTTTTGTTTTTCTGTTTCAAAATTTAGATGATTTAGATGCTTTGAGTAGGTTCTAAAACTAAGAAAATAGCCAGTTAAAAGAGAAGGCTGACATTTACGTTTTGATAAATACATGCAAATTTGGAGTAAATATATCCCTATGAATATGAAGTTGTTTTACTTGGGAGGCTCAGCCTGTGTTCTAAAACAGTTGTAACATCCCTGTTACAAAGAGAAAGAACAAAGAGTATCCTGCCGTGACTTCCAGATGAACAAAGATGAGGGCTAGTATAAAATGGACCTCTGGGCTGGCAAGATGGGTCAGTGTGTAAAGGTGCTTGCCACCAAAGCCTGATGACCTGAATTTGACCTCCAGAACCCACAGGCCGGAAGAAGAACCACTTCTCACAAGTGTCCTCTAATTGCACACACACACACACACACACACACACACACACACACACACAAATAAATGGGAAAACAATGAGGTTAGTAGCTGGGTCCAACTCCCAGCAACAAACAGTACTATGGGGTTGTTAGAAATATTTGGAAATGATTGTTTCTCTTCTAGGGTCTCTACGGCAGTGTGATTGTAGCAGGAGGAAACACGCTAATACAGAGTTTCACCGACAGGCTAAATAGAGAGCTTTCTCAGAAAACTCCCCCAGTAAGTGCTTTTCTGTTCTTTGTGTTATTTAGTTATGTCCATTCTCACTGAGAGGAATTTAATAGATAACTGTGGGCCTTTACAGTATGAGTAATAGCTATTATAACCGCAATGTCCTACATTGGTTCCTCTTCTAGTACTTGAATCTGTTTAATGTTTGTGTGTGCTGTGTGCACATGTGTGGTTGTATTCACCCTGTATGTATGTCTGGAGACCACAGGTCAAATTAGTTATTTTCTTTCTCTCCTTATTTACACACACACATCCACATATAGGTGTGCACACATGAACATGCACTCCATACACTCACAGGGCACACGGTGGTCATTTTCAGAGTAGAATCTGGATTGGTAGTTTACAGCACATTAATAATGCCAGGTAGAATATGCTTAAAGGGTGCTGGGTGTGTCTGTAGAAAATGTCTGGCTTTGGCTGCTCGTGTTTTCCGTGTGCTGTATGTTTAGTTAGTGCTCTTTGGGTGTTGATGCACTGTTGTGGTTGATATCTGCCTTCAGCATACTGCATTGTGGGAGATGATGCTCTAGGGTCGTGGTTCTCAACCTTCCTAATGATGCGACCCTAACACAGTGCCTCATGTTGTGTTGACCCCCAACCATAAAATTATTTTTGTTGCTACTTCATAAGTGTAATCTTGCTACTGCTATGAATTGTAATATGAGTATTTGATATGAAGGCTATCTGATGTGTGATCCCTGTAAAATGGTCTTGACCAGGTTGAGAATCACTAGTCTAGGGGAACAAGCAGTAGTTTTTCTGACCGTTGGATTTCATAGAATACCCATAAATATAACTATAGGCATGAATGGTCCAAGGTCTCCCAAAGAGTAATTTAGGGACTGCAGGTATGGTTCAGCCTCACCTGCATAAACTCTTTGTAGGGGAGCTGAGTTCCCAGAACCGACATTGAGAAGCTCACACCTGTAACTCCAGTTCCAGGGCATCCAGTACCCTCTCTGGCCTCTTCAGGCAACTGTACTCACATGAACATACCCTCACACAGGCATACACATAATTAAAGTAATAAAATGAGGGTTATTTTTTCTTTTTAAGAGTAATTTAGATACTTTTGTCCTTTAGGAAGTATTAAAATCAATGAAATGTCAGAAAAATTTTGATTCTGGAACAGACACTTGTACCAACACAGGTACAAGTCCTATGCTCCACTCCACCGCACAGTTATTTCTCTGAAAATACTCCACATATATGTTGTGTATGGCGCGTGTCTGGCATGGAAAATATCCCCAGAGGCAGATTTCTATGGAGGAGGGAACAGTCCCTTATTATAGGAAGTGAGATAAATACAGATTGAACCAGGCCTGGTGGTATAGCCACTGGGAGGCAGAGGCATGGCTATACCATGTTCAAAACAGAAGCTCTGGGTTATGGCTATACCGCGTTCAGAACAGAAACACTTGAGTTATGGCTATACTGCGTTCAGAACAGAAGCACTGAGTTATTAGTTTTTTGAGATGGGGCAAGCATTGTCCTATTGAAGAGCATGCTTGCTTAACTCAGCATTCTGCCCCCCCATCAGCCTGAATGCTGGGGTTGCAGCTATGAGCCACCCTGCTGGGTGGAAGTACTGATTTGGAAGACAGGCAATGTAAATCTGTCACTTTGATGGGGAGAGTTGAGATACAGGTGCTCGGGGTGGGTGGGAGACTGTGAATGAGAATAACACCTGGTATGGTATCTTTTGAAGTGTGCGTGTGTATGTGTATGAAGTTTTTGTTTTTATTGCCTTGTCAGTTTGTTATGTTTAACAGTTAAGGAGTTACATACACACAAATTCTGCCTTTATATCTGTAAATGAGATGACAAAGTTAACAGTGCCAGTGTTGAAGGGAACATTGTATGACATTTTTAGTGGAGCTGTTCAAGGGAAGGACTCCAGCTCTACCTAATCTCCTTCATTGCTGCGGAAGTGAAAAGTCACAGGGGAGTGACATGCTAAGGGCATCCAGACAAGTTATGGACAGTGAGTTAGAGCTCTGATTTCAGTTCAGTCCAGTTTTTCCTACCTGGCGAGGTACCGCATGCCTGTATTTGCTCAGTTCTGAGTTACACAGTTCATTTTCTCACCTTGTATTCATTAAGACCTTTCCTGTGAAGTAGCCTAACCTATGTCAACTATTAGCTTAGCTACCTGATACCATGTAAAATGACTGGTTTTCCTCTTTGTGTGTGTGCATGTATGTGAGAGGGAGGGAGGGAGGCTGTTGGTGGCTGTGCCATGTGGAGGCTAGCTAGGCCTGGCTGTAGATTAAGTGTTGGTGCCAGCATGGCCATGGAGGTTTCTCAGCACCCAAGTCCCAGGCTGGCTGTCGTGGCTGTCCTAATATCCCAATGCTTCCTCTGTTGTAGAGCATGCGGTTGAAACTGATTGCAAACAACACGACGGTGGAACGGAGGTTTAGTTCATGGATTGGAGGCTCCATTTTGGCATCTTTGGTTAGTAGACAAGCTGCTTTATTAGACTTGAGAGGGGAGCTGTGGGAGTGGGGTTGATTGATGTGCAGCAGTTTATGAAGAGTTAGTTATCATCTGAAAACACGCCATCTTTTTACCTGAAAAATTCTTTATTACATCTGGTTCCTTTTTTCGGGGCTCAAGAATACTTCTTTTAATATTTATTCTGTACTGATAAAAATCTGTTTGGCACTATTAGTAGCCTTCCATGATTCCCATTTTTTCCTACAATAGCACTGTGGTTTTTCTGGTAATGGTTTATTTATGATAATATTGAGCCATATATAAGCAGAAATTTTCTTTACAAAATGATTTGATTTAAATATGCCATTAAATGCTAAATTTAATAAAATAGTGAGAATGATTTCAGTGCTTCATTGATTTTTTACATTTAAAAACTGACAGATGAGTGGAGGACCTGGTAGGACTATCTGCTTAAATACATTACGTATGACAACGTCCCACCCTTTACCAACTTCAGGCTGGCCTCCAACCTGCAGTCTTCTTCCTCAGCCTCCAGAGTGCTGGACTACGGGTGTGCACCGTCACACTTGACACCTTGAGTGGACATTTGCCAGTCTACATGGACTCTCCCTGTTAGGGAGGGCAGCTGTAATACCTCTTTTGGCACTGGGCAGGCCTAGGTGTAGTGCATTTAGTTGTAAACCATTCCTTTTGGAAGTTTGGTTGTTACCCAAGTCCTGATGAGATTGTCAAGAGCTGGCTCTGTGGGCCAGGGAGATGACTGTGTTGGGTCTTGACGGGAGGCCACCGTGAGTCAGGAGATTATGTCTCAGGCAGAGCTGAGATAACTGACATGGGCCTAATGACAGGTTCCATGACTGCCTTAGGGCGCTTTGTCATGTTTTCTAAGCAGTCTTTGGCCCGTCTTAGAGGAAGCTAGAAGGAATAGGGGACAGTAGTATTTTGGAGGAGGAATTTTAATAGTTCAGTAGTTGTTAAAGGCATTTATGAGTAAAAGCACTACCTTCTAATAAAAGGTGGGCATAATGGAATGTTCCTTCCCGTCTTACAGGGCACCTTTCAGCAGATGTGGATTTCCAAACAGGAGTATGAAGAAGGAGGGAAGCAGTGTGTAGAACGAAAATGCCCTTGAGGGCTCCACCCTGCCTGCCGCCACCTCATGTCTGTAGCTTTAGTACACTCAGGAAAAGACGACCATCTTTTGTAGAATGTTTATACATGTTTGCATATTTCAATGTCCACTTAAATTTTTTAAGGCTTTAACTGGCTCTATAAATTAAAATGAGTTTGTGCTTTCCTTGAAATGCACTTATTCTTATTACAGGCATTTTATAATTTTGTATGAATGTCTATTTTCTCTAAATATTTTGCTTTCAGTAAGTACTTTCCAGCTCTCCTGTGGGTTGGTGGAGTTACTTTTTATTGACTAGTAAAAGTCACTGCCTATGCTTTTTGCCTTAGGCTTACAAAACTAAATAAAAATCACCACCTGTCCTAGAAGGGTTTTTGGATTCTTGTCTCTGTTGTGCCTTGCTGTTGTCAGTACTGCTTTTCCACTGTTTTGATGGCAGGAAGCAATCAACTGTTTGACTAACAGTATCCATGTCCCTTTCATGCTTAAAAGAAATTATGTGTATGAGTATTTTATCCACATGTACGCTTGCACCATACTAGTGCCTGGTGCTTGTTGAAGCCAGGTGTTGGCTTCCACAACTGGAGCTTTAGATGGATAACCTTGTTTGTGCTGGGAATCAAATCCGGGTCCTGAGCAACTTGTGCTCTTAACCACTAAGCCATCTTTCCAGTCCTGTGCACCACCCACTCCCCACCGGCCACTTTTTAACAGTAGTGGTGGAAACAGCATTCCTAAACTGGCATTGGTTCTAGCATCACTCTGGTAGCTAGCATCAGATTTATACCAAGACATCGGGTGTTATTAAGCCTGCTTAGATATCAGGATATGGGAACTGAACCTGAACTCTGCCTGGTTTTGATAGAAGCAGCAGTACTTCTAGGGTTAATTAACATGCCATGTTATCCACAAGAACAACTGATATCATCTGAACAAAAACATTTTATAAAGACATATTCACATCAGGACACAGGCTGCTTCAAGAATGAAATCGGATTTCTGGGTCTCATCTCACACAGAGTTTGACTTCTGGGTCTCATCTTGGCCAGTACTTGACTTCTGGGTCTCATCTCAGACAATACTTGACTTCTGGTCTTGAGAGAGGTGTGGGAACTTTGCCTGGAGAATTCTTTCTTTCTTTTTCTGTAAACTGTCCTTTCTTGCTTTAATGCGGGCTTGTTTCTCAATTCTCAGTCTAGAATAAAAATATAACAGCAACTTAGACAAAACCGCCCCCCCCCATTTCTCAAAGCGTGCCCATGCCAACTATATAAAAGCCAGTCATGCCAGCAGTTCTTGGCGTGTATAAATCAAGCTTTAACAGTGTCACTACAAATGCAAGATAGTGGAGGTCAAACCACCTCAGTACTGTGCCCGCAGAAACTGAAGGGAAGCGATGCAGCAGAGTTCTCCAGCCACCTGGCATCTTAACTAGGTCATAAGTATGGACAGACTTCAAAGCTTAGGATAAACACCAGAGGCTGAGAATGAGCAAGGTGTTAGGGGACAGACAGTAAAGTTCTCACTGATGAAGGTATGTATGTATTTTGGAGACACAGAGCTGGCGTATAGTTTTGAAACAACGTAATAAAAGCCTTGAAAAATCATGAAGCATAGTAGAGAGTAAGGGGCTATACTGGGGTAGACACTGGAAGAAGGCAGATTCGAAAAATTGCAGGAAGAACTTGAAGGATGGCTTGAACCCACAAGACTAGTACTGAAATAAGAGGTGGTTTTAGGGTCCCCACTGCACGGTGCACTCAAGTGATGATGCTGGATATGCATGCCTTTAATCCCAGCAGGCAGATCTCTGTCCTAGAATGCACTGGTGTGGCAGATGCCAGGGCTGTACAGACCCAATCAAAGGAACCTTAGGTATCAGCTGCTGGTGCTTGGGCAGCTACAATCCTGGAACAGAAGCACCAAGTTCTCTACTCATGAAAGCTCAGTGTAGAATCTGCCATGGGAAATGCAGCAAGGCAGGATCTCAGGCTCCTCCCTTTCCCATGGGCCCTGGAATAAGAGCTTGCAGTCCACATGGCGCAGTGGATTTCACTCTTATTTCAGACACACGGAAGTCATACAACTTTTAAAGGGATACACACCGTTGACACAGTGACTTCATGGAGGTTAAGATTTTAGATACATGGCTTCAATTTTCTCTTTAAACTAGTGGTTTTTTTCTTTTTAAGGTAATGAAAATATATTACTTACATAATAGAAATCAAGGTGGAAAGAGCTGAGGGCATGCACCACCTGATGTAAGGGGCAGCTCTGTCATGAGGATGCTGTGCTCACCTGACAAAGCGATCCACATAGGGCATCGCGAAGAACCGTTTCCTGTTGTATCTCTTATTGAGGTACCAAGGGATAGGCCACTGCTTGAATTTGTGCCTGCCAAAAAAATGAAGTTACTGCTTTACACAAAATATTTAATACAGTTTTACTTACATTTTTCATTGTTTCCTAATTAGCCTCAAATAAATTAATCCAAATAAAAAAATATTAGAAAATGGGGCCAGTAAAACAGCTAAACAAGAAGGTACTTGCCACCTGCGTTTAGTCCCTAGGACACGTGTGAACAGGAGCAGAGAACCGACTCGTGCAGGTTCCCTCTGACCTCCACACATGCCACATATAAGCACATACAAGGACACACACAAATAGGTAAAGTAATCAATGTTTTTAGTTATTAGAAAATACAATTCAAATTCATGCTGGAGATTTATACAACAGACACAGCTACATTCCTTAATCCTTGGAAGAGTTTTTTTTGTTTTGTTTTGTTTTTTTCTTATTTGGTTTTTGTGAGATAGGGTTTCTCTGTGTAGCCTTGGCTGTCCTGGAACTCAGTCTAGACTAGGCTGGCCTTGAACTTTGGGGTCCGCCTGCCTCTGCTTCCCTAGTGTGGACCCACTGCCCAGCTCCTTGGAAGAGCTTTAAGAGAGGTTTTGGCAATTTCTTTTTCTGTGTTGGATTAGATGGTTCTTGACTGGATGGCTGGAATTCCACATCAAGCGAGAAGGTGCTGTGTGTAAGGTTCTGGGACTGTCTAGATACCTCAAGCCTCAACACTTGCTGATTCCCGTTTAAGGTAATACATGGCCATGAGTTAGCTATCCTGGATCCTCTGGGGTGAGTTGGCTTATACTGGCTCCTCAGAGTCGATGCTGACAACCAGATCCTTCCCTGGAAAGAGGTATGCTGTTCACTACTTGGCCCAGGGCTTATCCCAATGCCCGTGAAACAAGCAACTCAGAACTTGCACTCAGAACTTTCAAGTCGCAGGTTCTTAGTGGGTAAGTAGGCAGAGGAGTATCTGAAATTAGCTCTTTGAGTTTTGTAATCCGAAGTTACATGTGTATAGGCAGATTTTTCTGTCAGAAGTATCCAACTTTTATGAAATTCTTGAAAGGACCCACAATTCACAAAGACAAGAACACATGGGGACGAGCTGTGTGGTCAGTGCATAGTTTGTGTTCTAGGGGATGGGAACTTCTCTTCTTTACATATGATCTCTAACATATCCGAAGGGAGGAATTTTGTTTTCCAGGATAGGGTTTCTCTGTAGTTTTGTTGCCTGTCCTGGAACTCACTCTGTAACCAGACTGGCCTCAGACTTATAGAGACCCGCCTGCCTCTGCCTCCTGAGTGCTAGGATTAAAGGCTATGGACACCTAGCCACAGGGAGGAGTTTTAAAGGTACAGAGAGGGATACCAATTCAAGCAGCGATCTCTACTCTTGGAAGTACAGTGTAATCATGTACCAGATAATTCGTCCGAAGATGTCCCTTCTCCAGGCACCAGGTCTTGCTTTCTCCTGGCCGGTCTGAAGAAGCCGCAGGGCATCCTCCCTCTCCTGGACAACTTTATCTAAGGCATCCATGGAATCAACAACCTGAGGCGACAACAACACAGCCAACTTCAGCCATTCTCACCAAGACTGCATTCCAGAGCTCAAGATTTACAAAGCAGGTGATTTATGACATTTTATTTAGAAACTGCTCTTTCTAGTACTTTCTAGAAAGTCCTTTTGGCACAGGTGGGTGTGTGTGTGTGTGTGTGTGTGTGTGTGTGTGTATGCTCACAGGTGTCTACAGTATGACTGTCTTTAACTTCTCTGAAGTTTTATCATTTCATTTCTTAATAACTGGTTGCCATGTACCATGTACCAGTTCTGTTTGGAGCAGACAGAGTTCTAATGCCGTTTGAATGCAGTAAGCTAATGAGACGTATAACTGCTACTGCCCTTTGTCAGAGCAAAAGACGCATCTGTCCCTGATGGACCACTGCTGTCCTCACGCTCAGCAGGTACCCTGGCCTGCTTGGCAACTCTAGTTCTCACAGGGAAGAATGTTAGGATTCATGAAGATACAAGAAGATACTTTTCTTCTTCTCCCTCATATATTACATCCTGACTGCAATCTCCCTCCCTCTTCTCCCAGTCTTTCTCCCCACTCTTCCTCAGTTTCCCCCTTCAGAAAAGGGCAGGTCTTCCAGGGATCTCAACCAAACATGGTACATCTCACTCTCAAATAACTACTGAGAGTCTTAATATTCATCACAATTGCTCGTCTGATAGCGCAGACCTGCTAACCACCTAACTCTTACATTTAAACTCACCCGTATTTCTTGTCTATGCTTTGCCATGTGGCTCATGGCAGGTTACCTCATTCTCTACATGTAGTGCTCTAGTGGCTTGGTGGCCGGGTGGCATCTCCCTGACTCTGCCCTTCTTCCACTCAGCATTCTCAGTCTGATTGTCCTGTTTAACTTTATCCTGCCTTGTTCTAGGCCAATCAGCTTCTTTATTAACCAATGAAAATAATACACATTCACAGTGTATAGAAGGATTATTCCACAGCATCTCCTCCATTTTGTCTAATTAAAATCTTAACATAGTAAAACTATATATAATAAAACAGTTATTAAGTAAGAATTACAGTTACAATATCTAGTCTATTTGTATTTAGCAAAATTAGAGAAAATACTTTATTATCTATCTTATCTTAAAGTTTTATACCTAATTTGCTTTCACAACTAAGAAAAACTATAAGTTTAACTAACTCTATCAAAGACTTCAGAAAGGAGTAATGTTACCCAATGACCTGGACAGTCACCCAAAGTTCCTATGTAACATTGGGGCATCCAACTCTGGTCTACAGACTTTCCTGTGAAGCAGGGAATTCTGCTGGACTGTCCTACCTTTCTGTAATATGACAGCTGATGGCCTACAATGGAGCCAGGGCAGGCCTGGAGGCCACCTGAACGCTACTGAGGTTGGCCATCCACAGCTGCTGAGTCCACAGAGTACCACATGTTTACACCATCAGTGTGACTCAGCACTACATGTTTACACCAATGGTGT